TACAGAGTCGGTCAGGTTTTACTAGCGTAGCAATCCGCAACAAATTGGTGACCCTCAGCAGAGAACCAATCTCTCACTGGCATTGGGAATTCCCTTCTCTCGTCTCTCAATCCCCTCTGTGATCTCTCCCTCCTCGAACGACCATCACCACACACCCGCTGCCGTTTCTCACGACAAGTTAGATCCTGATTTCCGCTCAACAGAGACTCCTTCTCTCATCGGCGACGCAATTGTTCTTCACATCGCTCTTTTCATCTGTTGTTTCCTTCCCACGAACGATCAGCACCTCAACGGCACCCCGACTCTTTCCTTTCACTGGCTATGACTCCCTCAGAACGCTATGGGAAACAGGCAACAGCTGAAGCACAATACGTCTTGAATGCCTATTTCTACGAGACTCAAGAACCTCGTCCTTATACCCAACGGAAATAATAGCCGATATACGTTACTTTTCGAAAGCCTACCCTTACAAGTCCCCAAAACTCCAACTCACACTGCGTTTCAACCCGCAAGCCGAGACTAAATTGTCAGGCAAGCACACGCTGGAAGATTACGACCATGGATTGTCGCAACCAAACATCCATTCAACAAGAACATTGAACGCCGATCATTGTATATGGAGGAACATCCAACAGGGCGCTCGTCAGTAGACCAAATACTGCCTCACTCGCTCAGCCGGCAACGTCCACAAGCATGCACGAAGTCCACAATCCTACTGCCTCCAACTCCAAAAATCTGGTCTCTGCAGTTCCAACACCTGTCCTACCTCTATCCAGAACCCTGTTACTCTAAAGTCGAAGATTTACCTTCCCCTCTCAACTAGTTGATTTTGTACATTAACTAATTATCAAGCGTTTTCTTCACTTTTCAGCATCCTACAAAGGCTCTAGGGGAGGAGTATTGTGGGGCACGTCATTTCATGCCTGCACGTCAGGATTAGGATATGCGACCGTACAAACAGAAACCAATCATTGACCTCTGTTTGTTTAACCTAATTCGCCATCCTGATCATGATTAAGCCTTCTGCGTGAACACTATTTCCGCAATATACTTACTGAATAAACGTGCTCCTTGCTACACCTCTGTTTCCTTCATAGCTGGGCTATAGCATAGTAGGTTCTGGGAGTCCAGCTAGATGTTGGAGAATTTGCCACAGAGATTTCTGAGTCAGTCTGGCTTCACTAGTGTAGCAAGCCGCTACAATTCTGGATTTATTATTTCATATTAAAATTCAAGAAAAAAATTTAATGACCAAACGAGATGGAAGAAAATTAAGTGTTCCGAACTTTGATAAGTCGTGGATTGGGATAGCCATTATATTCATCACCTTGTTTTTGTCTAATGGACAGGTTTTATATGTTTTCAAATAAAATTAAAATTGTCTAAATAAAAAGACTAGAGTAGTTATTTTCATATTGTCAGCAATTAATAATTCTTGACCTAAGGGCGTTCAAAAAATGACAATCAGCAAGTGTGAAAGTAAAGATTACAAGCATTTATGATATTGTTGATCTCTAATCGACACCATTGTTCACAAATACTCTGTTATTTGGTCAGGGTCTTTGCTTTTGAGGTTGTCACTTTCATGTGCACAAGAGAACTTTTAAAATAGCATTATAAATTACATTTTACTGTAACATTTGTGATCATGTGAGCGTACGGATTTAAATACTCTTAAGAGTATGCAAATCGAAATCAACGTGAGCCATGTTGATATATGAGAAGGTAATCTGTATAGCAACGCTATTGGGGGTTAAAATTGGCCTAGATTGGGAAGTGACATATCGGCCAGCTATAATCGCATTACGACTTACTGAAAGTTCATGCTGCTAGCTGAAATTGCGACAGTTAAATGGTATGTGTATGTTGCTCTTAAAAGTAACAGTGATTGATTAGAATTTTCTACTTAAATGATCAACAGTAGGGCGCTTAAAAATTTCAAATCAATTATTCTAATGCTTGTTGAAATACAAACCTGGATAATAAGGTTAGAGGATGTTTTGAAATCTGGACTAAATTGGTTGTTTTGAAGATCAGCACATTTTGCTTTATTTCCGTATCTCTTTTACATTGAAAATGCCAATAGGGCCGAGAGAAACGATAAATATCATTAAGCTTGCCATTTGAAATGATAACGTATACAAGTGAACTGCGGATTTGTGAATATGGACTTAGCAAAAATGCCGAACATAAAGAAAACGGGGAATCCCAGAAAGCTTCAGAAGAATTCAGTTTTGGAACAAATGTGAATAAGATGTTCTAACAAGGTATGGGACATGTAGAGCCCAAAAATGTCTTTTTAAAGCTAATTAAATTAATTTCAAAGCTTTTGCGCACTCTACAATAGACCGTGTTTAGTTTCAATTGGCCGCTTTAACATTAGCCAAGCTAATCAAAAGAAGTATTCATGCAAGGATTCAACTTTTGGAACCAGCTTTTTGTCAATAAGTTGGAAATGAAATCGGAAAAGCCTTAGACAATGCTTTATGGATGTGTGATAACTAAAACCCGATAATCGAATCGCTAAATCAGCACAAGCTATAGTTGAAAGCTAAATTCATAAAGATTCAATTGATGTTAGTCATGAAGCTGTTGATACTGATGTTGTTAATGATGGTGGTGAAGACGAAGCTGTTCCATGTAATTTTAAAAATGTAAAGTACTACAATATTGAAAAAAGAAAGAAAGATAGATGAATTATAGCAACTATGTAACTATGTGATTTGATTTAATGCCAATAAGAAAGTTGCCACTGAGCTAAGAAAGCTACTAAAATTGTTACAGAAATCGAATCTTGGACCAATCTTGTTGCAAAAGAAGCACAATTTTAAATTACTGCAATTTTTAGATTCACATTTATCACTTAAAATAAGACAAATAGAATATGATTGAATTCGTGATGTTATTAGCGAAGTCACAATGTTCTATGCAATTAAAACACATATTTTGTACTTATACGTAATCTCCTTTTTATTAATTTGGAACATAGTATGGTCATTTATCAAATCAAAGGAAATTACTTTCATATGACTTCTATTAACTGAATTAACTCCTAATTTATTTGGTTTGCATATTTTGAAACACTTTATAGACATTGAATATTTCACAAATATATTTTTAGAAATGGCAAGTTATCTGTAAAGTACAATAGGGCTCATTTCAACTAAACAGAAACACAGAAAATCAACAGGAACATCTATCCCACAATTCTGCATATTGTCGACAAAAACAAACCGTCATCGCGAGAACAATTGAAATAAAACCTTCCGATCATTCCACAACTTTTGCAACTGCAACTTGTGCCTCTGCTGATTAATTCCCTTCCATTTCAACTACTCAATCATTCTCGCAAAATATAATCAACGCATTTATAATTTCAATGTGTCAAAGAAGCACCTCACTGTTTTTTTTAGCGCAATGGTTCAATTGGTATTGTCTGCTGCGTGTAAAGTAATTTTGGTTCCAGTTGTTCAGCGCTTTGAACACTTCTACGGTCATGAATGTGTGATTTTCGTTGATGTAGAATACATAAGGGTGGCTATATGCAATAAATATGACAAATTTGAGTAAGAAAATAGTCAAATTGTCTCCCCCGGTTCACTTCATATCTCTCAGAAAAGGGAACTGGAGATTATAAATAACTTGGTGTTTGTAGAAAATTTCAGTATTTCCCTGATTTTATTTTTCTTAAATTAATCGGAGACTTTTCACCAAAAACGGTGAAATTTTACCCCGTGTGATTCGATTGCTAATTGTCCACTGATCTAGAAACACTACGTATATATTATCAATAATACTTAATTTACACATTTTATAATAACATCAGATTTCAATTTACGTTCTTTTTCAATTGTCCTTGAAACTTAAATTAATGTTTGCCATAATAAGTTAATTTCATAAGCATTCAGTCCACAATGTCAATCAAATTGAATTGTTCATTATATAAGGCAATATTCAATATGCTTTCATTAACCTTTTAATTTTTATGACTGTTAAAACATTGATTCTCCTTAACATTGATTTGTTCTAATATTAAACTTAACACCTATAATTGTTACTAACATCATTTATTATGAAGACTAAATGTGACAAGCTGTTTATAAGCAATCATTAAGAAGCTGATCATTGTGCCTTCATTTCCTTTTTCAGAATGATACTTCTTCGATACTGAAGACTTCAGAGAAATATTGCTCAAGTGATGACTTTATAAAAAAATAAAAAAAATAATTTTTTAACTTTCTCATATTTCATTAGTTAAGCGCATAAAATTGGTTTTAGATAGGAGAAAGATTAGCTCTTTTTAACCTTGTCATATGCAATTAATGGAAAACTGATTGATTGAAAACTGAAGTATGACGTTCAAAGGTCATTAAGAATCAAAATGAAGGGGCAATTTTCCGTACAAAATAGTGAAAATTCTTGTGGTGAAGGCGTTTGTTTTAAGTAAAAAAACTGTTCAAATACAGTACAAATATATTAAGGGCGTTCAATTTGGACCAAAATGAATATATGCCATAAAACTTTGGTAACATTTATCAAAAATGAGGTCTTTCAAAATGAAGAAAGAAGTCGATAATACAAGTCTTAATCATTTACCATCTCCTCATCTTTGCAATCGTCATCGATTTCCCGTTTTTCATCTTAAACTTCTTCATTTTCCACTGTCCTCCAAAATCATCATCCCTTCCATTGCTTTATTACATCTCGCTTGAGTGAAAAATAGATTAGTAAAATTCAAGCCAATAGAAAGTAAGTAAATGCGAGGTATATAGGGTTTGGAATAGTTCGCATTTGCTCCTTAGTTGACTTCGGCTTTCACAAGGAGGAAGCACAAATATTAAGGCTTTAGAACAGTATCACTGGGTCACTGTCCTTGTCTTTAGGGCAGGACACCGAACCAAGTTTGCCCTCTGTATTTCCACCTGGAAGTCGCATATTGCGCATATGCAATGGGCGTCAAATCCTATTTGATGAATGTGTTTCGTTAGGCAATCGCGTCCGGCAAGCAATCTAAACTCAGCAACAGCTTCGATTCTTGGCCAGCCAGATATGTGGGAGAGTGCCAATGTCCTCCATCTTGCTTCTGAATGGAGTCTTCATTGTATGAAAAGACATTGGAGAGGGGTACCTATCTTGAAGCATTGTATTCCTCTGTTAGCGAGTGTACCAATGAAGTAACTGACTAGTAAAATTTAAGTTAATAGAAACTATGTGAATACAATTTTCAACATTTATTATTACAATCCAAAAAAATCCTTGTTTATTTTAACTTAATTACGCATTAAAAAAATCAACCGAAGCATCAATTACTCTATTGTGAACATAAATATTTAAAATCAAAGAGTTTGATAGCTCGCCACTATATATGACCACATTGAGCAAAATGAGATTTTAGCTAAAATTGGATATGTCCACCAAGTTGAGCAAAAATATATTTTTTAAACTTCACAAGTAAAGGTCGATTAGAAACTTTCTACCATAGAAAAATCTAAGGTACCAAACTACTATGGGATACGTCATCGATTTACGCGTCATCACATCATCAGGAACGGGAGGTGCGCCATACAACTCCGTGGACGGCAACCGTGCAACAAGTGGCCAATCAGACGCCTCTGTTTGTTTAACTTTATCCGCAATACTGATTATGATTAATCTCCCTACGTGTACACTTTATCGAAAAGATACCTACTGAATAGATGTTTTCCGTGTCATGTATTTGTGTGTGTTCTCTTTAGCTGTGCTGTAGCTGAGCTAGTCCTGGGGGTCTAGTTAGACGTCGGAGAATCTGCCACAGAGATTTCTGAGTCGCAAAATCATATTGTTTACTTTAATGCAAAAAATACGCTTGAGCAAATTTGTTATCCGTGTACAAGAAGTTGTCAGAATAAATATTCACCAAAAAGGCTATATAATTTCTTCAAATCTCATGATGTTGGACTAACTATATTAGAACAATAGACGGCTTTAATTTCATTTTGGTCTTAGAAATTTGGAAAACTTCACCTTAAATGTAATTTCCGTGACACAACCATAAAAGCCTTTCACAAATTCATATTTTGTGAGGGATTCAAATTTTTTCACATTGTATGAAAACCAACCGTAAAAATTGGAATCGTTCATTCTATCGACCAGATGAAAATCGTATCCTCGAAAATCGATATGATAGAAGAACAAGATAAGGTGCGCATAATTTCATTGATCCAAATTGTTTAAGCGGGAAATGAGATATGCTTGCCTTCACGTGGTGCACTAAAGAGGCTAATGTTTACTATCATAAAGCCTGCCTCGCCCAATGGAAACTTAAGGTGCAAGTATCAAATGTTGAATTGCAATCTAAAACGATGCCATCCATTTTTAACAAATCGCTCTTTCAAATGATCAATTGATATTTAGGAAGACATTATTAATTCATTCCGAAAAGGTTCGTGCAGGCCACAAAATTTCTACTTTAACCAACACCGAATATAAAATAAAGTAAAACAATTGATGGCGTAAAAAATGATAAAACTTGTACTATTCAAATAACAGCAACATGGTTTTTGCAGAGCAATATTAAATAATTTTAATTGGAGATTATTAAAGGAAAACGGCATTTGCAGTGCAATGGGTAGCAATTTAATTGATGCAATTTCTTTAAGGAAATGTATTTTTGATAATCATAGCGGAAAAGTTTATTGAAATCGTTAAATTAAATGTCATTTGCCAATTCTTTTTTTTCATCGCCACCATCCTCATTCTCTTCTTCCTCATCCCCATCCTCATCATCGTCATCATCATCTTCGTCCTCTTCATCCTCATCTTCATCCTCCTCCTCATCCTCATCATCATCTTCGTCCTCTTCATCCTCATCTTCATCCTCATCCTCATCATCGTCATCATCATCTTCGTCGTCTTCATCCTCATCTTCATCCTCCTCCTCATCTTCTTCATCTTCTTCGTCGTCTTTATCCTCCTCCTCATCTTCTTCATCTTCTTCGTCGTCTTCATCCTCCTCCTCATCTTCTTCATCTTCGTTTTTGTTGCCACCAAACCCTCCTCCCACATATATTGTGCCATTACCACCCCCTTCAATGGGCTGCCAGCCATAACCTCCGTGAGGGTCTTCAGAAACACCGCAAAATGGGCCCCGAGGGGGTGAGGTCAAATATAAACTCATTTGTTCTGAACGATCAATAACGATTGTGACTAAATAAATCTTGATGAAAAGCCAGCAGTACATCACCTTCTTTATGCAATAACGTCAAACTTAGAAGTTAACTTTCCACCTCAAAGTTCAGTAACCAAATATATACCATTTTCTAAATGTCAGTTTTTATTTAGATGGCGGCTGATTGGTCTAAAACAAGTGATTAATCTCATGTAAACATAACGCAATTGACTTAAAATAAAAAGGAAAATGAATCATCAAACAGTGATAAGAGTTAAAATTACAATGTATTTCAAATTATTGTTGACCTTGACGCACAACTGGAGAATAAAATGAACCAAAATTTACTATCGGCATTCGAGTTCTCAAAATTGTACTTCAAAATATCTCAATTGCCATTAGGACGTGATAAGAGCAGTTGCTTTTCATGATTATCCTTTCTATTGCTTCTTTGTTTGGATATGTAACAACATAAAAATGCATATGTACGTACATCATTAAGTCAAACGGTTTTGGCTGCCAAATTTCTGCTCTCAAGAAGGAACTTTAATCTGAGCAATTTAGCTTGTGTTCTTACGCAGATCGAAAGGGCATTTTGGCTTTTTTATTTATTTATTCTGCACACCCTTCTTGACTTTTGGACCATAAATCTGCAGCCCTATAGATTAAAATAAGATATTGATTTAATTTAACGAAGCTTCCTTTTGCTATTTTATTTGAATAAAAGAAAGCAAAATAATCACAAAAAGGTTGGATGAAATAAAATATGAAAAAAAAATATTTGAACAAAATAGCGATGGCCATCTGCCTTGAGTGTGTAGTGAAGTAGTTACGTCATGTAACCATTGCAATTAATTTAACTAATACATGAAAGAGAAGACAGCGTCATTCGATTTGTGACCTCTGGCAAAATTTGGAGGCAAAATGAACTTATTGTCGCCTAGTTCCGTTGAAGTATACGCATATTCCTACCTTTCATGAAAGCAATAAAATTGATAATGTTTTTTTAATTCAAGTTTTCACACTTTGTTAATAATAATTCTTTGTAAACGGCACAAAATACTCAAAAGACTGTTGGATGGTAATAAAGTAGGTAAATGTTGACTCGAAATCAAGCGTAGCTATGAGCGATAGACCATTAAATTAGTTCAAATATTTAAATAGCTGTGAGAAGTGATGAATCACTCTCTCCGTGTCCAACTGGTTGAAATCGGAAATTAATCGGGCAAAATTACTTTGTCCCCGCTTTGTCTAAATTCCAGTAATACCTATTCCATTTTTACAGATTTTATCTGTACTACAGATAGTGATGTAGTTATTTTAAACAAAAGTGTGTTATTTTATTAAAATACAGGTTTATGGGAGCTATTTGCTTTACTGAAGAGTACATCTTTAGTGATGTTTTTACAATATGAATAGTGTTCAGTTACAAGTTTTGTCTTCCAATTTTAACATAAAAGTTTCCAGTAATGCCATATCACGTCCTGTACACACGCACATATACATATATGCTGATGATTGTTCGCATTAGCTCATTATTCCACTACTAACTTCACAGTACCAATGGGTCTCGGTTCTTATCTGTAGAACTGGACACCGTTTAAAGTGCGTCTTTTACATTTTCTCCTGTAGGTCATATAGTAGGACTTTTGCGTGGGCGTATGCGCCTATTCTGTGAACTTTCTTTGCTAGGCAATCGTGTTCAATACGTGGGCAAAATTTTGCAAATGTTTCGTCAGATAAGACCCTTCTTTGTATGGAACATGTTGACTGGTATCTATTTAGCTATATTGTGCTACCCCCTTAGCAAGTTCGAAATAATTACAGGGTTTAGGAATCAGATATCTAGCCAACTCAATTGGTCAAATGATATCTAAATGAACTATATTTCTTCTTTAAATACTGATCTACTTTGTCGCACTGGTGTGCAGAAATAGAACAGTTTAGAGTGAGTACCTGCACCAACATTTGCTTGGTTTCCTACATATGAGCTGTCTGTGAACAACGGGAGTCATTGATCAGCAGATTGATTCACGTGTCATGGCTTGATGACTGCCTTCATCAATCGGCCAATAAGTTGCAGGAAAAGAAAGGCTCTCGAATTTATTAGACGATAATTTTGCTTTCCGCAGTTTCATTGCCTTCACTTTTAGGCCAGCTTCCGTATTTAAAAGTCTTGATGTATTATGGGAGGTGCTCAAGTATGTGTCCCTGGGAATGCGCAGTAATTTATCATATATAAACAAGGTCTGTCTAATTTATAAATGAACTTATTGAGGTGTTCCTGTAATTTGAAGAATCACATCAATGGGTGTTGACTTTTTAGCTTTCAAGTAATTGGTCACAATGCTTGGTTATATGTCTTTTCGAGCGGTTTAAGAAACATCACTGTGGCTGTAATGAGTGCATTGCAGCAAACAGCTTTATTGGTTGAATATAATTTTTGCAAGTGATGTTAGAGTTGAGCGCGCACTACCTCATAGGCAACCAGTGAAGCGCTTCAGTGCGTACAGTCTATTGAAGACTCGCTTTGTCACTTTGTCTACTCGGTTTTCCATTTTAGTGTTGCGTTAAACATCAATCGACGGTTTCTTCTCGAAAAGTATTCTTCTACATTATGCTGTGGAGGGTAGTGAAAAGTTTTGCTATGCAGGTTTCGATGTGCAGGAAACCGCGGCTTTGTTATCACACTAATTTGTCAGTTGTTTAGACTCATAATCTAGGTCTCTTTCCGTTCTCTTTGGAGCAATCTCTTTGGGGTTGAACTACCATAGAACAAGATCATCTGCATAAAGTAAGCACATGTTGAGCGTGACTGCCTGTGCCAGTTCAGCTATGCCATTGATGAAGACATTGAGAGGAGTGCAGCTTGTGACAGCTCCCTGTAGTAGTCCTGTTTGCAAAAGATTAGAATTGGACAGACCGTTTCCTTTGCTGATTAACAAGATCTCTGTCAAATGGATGGTGTTATCAAATTTAGCATGCTATGTTTTTTACCAACCTCCGCTAATTTTAGAATTTACTTCTCTTTTCATACTAGGATAGGGTGGCAACATATTGGTTCGTTTATCTTTGCAGTCTAAAACCTGTTTGTTCATTTATAAGAATATCATTGGTTTCATGGAACCAGATCATCTTTGTTTTAATCATTCTTTCATTAAGTTTAACCAGTATGCTTGTGAGAGAAAATAGGTCTAAAATTGTCGAGCTTGCTTTTTATTAGTATTATTATTATAAATTGTCAACTGTCTAATGGGTAGATATAACCCTTGGCTCACATATTTTGTTGAGTGAAGCCAGCATGATTTCAATGGCTTTCGAATCTATTCTAATTAAAAATTCCGAGTGGAGACCTTTGGAATTTTATCTCGTTTTTTACAGTATTGCGTTCGTAAGAGATGAATGGTTGAGTGAGTAAATTACGTGGTAATGTTATGGTTTGGTTGCTAGGTTCTTAACCCTCTTTTTCTTTTTCTTTTGTTCTTGCGAATAGAATTTGGAAACAAAAGGTTAGGTAGTTTGGAGTTGATGGAAAACGGTTTAGCGTTTAAGCTTATTGTTTTATTTCTGCCTTTTTGTTTTGAAGGTCAGTCAGGAATTTTAATGGGCATTGGCTACCATTCTGCTTGGTTAACTATAATCTCTAGGTATATGTCTTCCGTTTTCCAAATCTGTTCAGCAGTTTTACTATGGGTTTCTCAATTTTATTTCACCAACTCACGATTTTAAGACCAGAACGCTCTATAGTGTTTAGACTTATCAAATGATTTGATTTCTCAGCCCAGCTAATTGAAATATTTCTGATATAGTTGCATGGTTTGTCAGAATTGTAGCTATAGTTGATTTTATTTGCGCATGATTTGTTTTACCATAGATTTTTGCTTTTATGAAAGAAGATATTCTTGAGGTTTATTGATAGCATTCAGATATTCAGGCAGTAATAGCATTGACTGGTTTGTGACATGTTCTGTGATCATCGATTTTATAGCTAATATAGGTTGAAACTAGAAGTAAGTCAGGATTTTCTGGTTCCGTTGTAGCTATAGTAAGTAGCAGTATCCTCGTTACTGTAGATATTTTTAGAGGGCCGTTGTGAAGCACGTCATCTTTTTTTCCGTCCCAGCTGTGTCTCAATTGGTGGAATGAGCGCTGTTGCCTGCGAGTACTATATTAGTGCGAGAGATGGTAATTCGTTCAAAGCTGAGGCCATTATATACTACGTACATCATGAAAAGGTTTTGAACATTCTATACAGTTAATCTGATTAATCTGTCAGTCGTGGGGTTGCAGATAAAGGGGTTTCTCTCAGAATCGTTAGTATGTAAGTTTGTTATCCATGAGGTTGGCTACAATGATTATGGATACAACTACATCAAAAATGTGCAGGATCGCTTGAATTTGGATATTTGTCTTGTGAAATCCCTCCAGCTTTCCACGAAACGGTGAGATGGAGGCCATGATTCTCCCTGGCAAGGTCGATTTCTTCTATTTGAGTTTCGTTTTCAAAACTGTATCTTTCCTGCTTTCCATTTTTTTAATTTATACACGGAAATTTCGGAGATTTTATTTGCTTAACTGCATTCAAGCACAATAGACTCGTAATTAGATGAGTAGGTTAAACCGAATTTTAAAATCTAGTTGAAACACCAACAGGATGGTAAGAGCTATTTTAGCCAAGTGGCGTTTTCCCAAGTTGAATTATGTTCTCAATTAAAGGCAATAAGTTTTGAAGAATACGTTTCGATTCATATATTAAGAGTTATAGTTTTACTGCAAGGAAATAATATCATCTCGAGAAAACAAGGTTTAAAGAGAAATAGAACGTATTTTTCTATGAAAAGGGAAATAATTAGTGGCAGATTCACCATGGGCCACCAATGAGACCCACATTCGTTTTAAATGTCACCCTCTATTTCTGTCAACGTAAAATATAGTGACGTTTAAGTCTCCTCAATTCTTATCAAATTAAAAGTTATGGAAAATAAATAATTTTGTTAGAAAATTGCTCCCCTTTAACAATTAATTTAAGTACACTTAATTTATTTTCCATCTCAAAAGCAGCTTATCAGTCATAATCTAAAAAAATAAATATTTATAACTTAATGATTTGTCAATCACACAATCCATTTAACGCTTGAACCACTAATTGATTTGCACAAAGGTCTGCGTAGAATGTATTAAACATTCTATCAAATTATGACCTTGTTCAATCTGATTGTTATAAATCAATTTCACACCATGCTTGCTTTAATTAATTAATTAAGAAAGGGCATTTATGTACGGAAGGCCGATTACCTTAATTGACAATAGCGCTTTACTACAAATCCTAAAGTCTCTGTAAAGACTACATCTTAATTAATGAGCCATGCAATTATTATTACTTACCTTCGTACAAAGATAAAAACACTTTCAAATAGTGTGGCTATCCGATTGTTTGGCTGTTTGTTATGCACACAAAAGGAAGTGATGGCTGACTCGGGGTATCCGAAATTTAATAATCTTTGTTTCCCGTTTATATCAGTTAATCATTCCCTTTGGTTAGTCTATTCCATTCATACCTATGAATGTCAATTAACTTTCTTTGCTTATCATCAATACTTCTACCCAAAATATCAAGATCAAAATTCACCTAACAATTTAGCATCTTTTTGTGGAATAAAACGATGTATCAGAATGAACAGTGTTGTTATTATTTTTGATAAGTTCAGTCACTTGATACCTTCAATTATCTAATGCCAAGGTCAACCAGAGTTGAGAGGTCTGGAATGGGTGCAACTGAGTTCTCACTGCGCTCAGAAAGGCCATTCGAAAATTCGTACTTTTGGTAGGGCGAGACACAGACTCAAGTTTGACCACCCTCTCTATTAACTCTCCCTAATCATTGCTGCGTCCACAAGATATGAACTACGTAGAGTTTCAGGTTATCTTAGAATGCTTTTGTTGAGGACTTAGATATATACGAAAAATAAAAATTTGCCTAATTGCGTCGGAGGTAAGTCAATGCAAATAAAAAGAGGCACGGAATGCTTTGTCATTTGATTGTTCACCAACGAGCAGGCAGAACAATATTATCGCCAAACTCTAGAAAAATATTATGAAAGGAAGCATTTTCTTTTAACTGTAGACTCAGTAATGTAGAATGGAAATGCAAAGTGATAAAACTTTTTATTTAAATAGTATGAAAATGACTTTTAGAGGGCTTTAATTAATAATTGAAATTTAGGTTCCGTTATTTGAAAATGGTTTGGTTATCATGATAGAACTCCGTGTTTCTTTAAGACGTAATCGTCAAATTTAAGTTGACATTTCTTATTTTTTCTCTTCAGTTCATTTTTAATACTATAATAAATGAAAATACAATGACAGGTCGACTTGGACCACTCCTCCGTGTGAACGAAATCAGGGCCTTCATATTATCAATTCACCAATTAAGTAACTGATTAATTTATTAAAATTAGCATTGATGTTTTTGCCAACCCCCATTGGCGTTCTCGAATATCAACATATTAAACAGTAACTTTAATCATCATTTGCTTTGAAATGAATGGCCAGTTTTATTTTTAAAATCTAAAAAACCCAAACACATCTTTCATCAAAGTCTATGACAGATGGATCCGTCAGTTTGCTGCGTATGGTGGAAATATATATATATATATATATATATATATATATATATATTTGACGATATTTGAAGAACTATGAAGAGTTTGGAAATTGCCTGAATTTAATTATTAAAGGATCTTAGTTATTCCATAGTTATGTCAAGAGACTTGATTTATGGATCCCTCACCAGTTAAAGGAAATTCATTTGACGCAACGGATTAGCATCTGTGATTCGCCGCTACTGAAACGCAACGAGAATGATCCATTTCTGAAGAACCTAGTTACTGGCGACGAAAAGTGGATAGTTTATAACAATGTTACTTGCAAGAGGTCATGGGTGAAGCAAGATCAACCAGCCCAAACAGTATCAAAAGCAGAGATTCTCCAAAAAAGATTATGCTGTCAGTCTGGTGGGATCACAAAGGAATTTTGCATTTTGAACTCATGCCACAGAACCAATCGATAAATTCAAATGTGTATGTTGAAGAACTCGAAAAACTGAAGAATGCAATTGAAGATAAGCGGCCGGCATTATCAAATCGGCGGAAGAGTGTTGTTTTCCATCATGATAACGCAAGGCCCCCCCCCCCCCTCACATCTTTGGTTACTCGGCAAAAATTATTGGAACTGGGTTGGGATGTTTTCTCACACCCACCATATAGCCCTGACCTTGCGCCTTTGGATTACCATTTGTTTCGTTCCATTCAAAACTCTTTAAATGGTAAAATTTTTAACAATGTGGATGATGTCGGATCACACCTAATTCAGTTTTTTAATAGCAAAGATCAGACATTTTACGAACGGGGAATTTTTACTCTGCCAGAACGATGGACAAAGGTCATCGACAAGAACGGCCAATATCTAATTGAATAAAGTTATATCTTTAAACGAAAATTCCGAAGTTGCCTTCTTATTTGAAATCGGCAATGACTTCGTCGCCAACCTAATAATTGCAATGGAATCAGGCGTCAAAAATATTGATGTCGTTGAGTTATATTAATATAAATTGAATAATTTTCACATTTTATAAAAAAGAACAGAAAGGCGATCGATAATTTTTAACATGAACTCATATATCTGTATATTCTCACGTTGAAATTTATTTAAAATAATTCATATTCAATAATATTGCAACAATCAGAGTTCAGGAAATTAAGATAAATCCCGCATTATTTGACTTGAAAAAACGTTCTGATTATTATCTAGCAAACTAATTTGTGAACGCTCAAAATGATTCAAAAACATACTGAAGTTAAAGTAAACTCGATATTGCATCTTTCTTTCTTTTAAGCCCAAATTGCATTTAAGCCTAAATGAAGAACAATTTACGAAGTGCAAGAAATCAACCCAAATCGTTTGCTTTTCCTGCAAAAAAATATTTGATTTGCATATTGTAACTCGCGTTGATGAATGCACAGAACAAGTAAAGATGAAGACTTTTTTAAAAGATTGATATGCAAAATAGGAAACTGAACTACCAAACGGCCAAACTTGTGCTGTGGTAAAACCTCAAAACGGACTTATAGTTAAGTAGGCTTATTGGTTGGTGGTTGTCAGCTTGCGATATAAAATGGAAATATGTCATATGGTATTAAATATGCCCTGTTAGGTTGGCCCAATGATTTATTTTTACCTTTCCAACACGAATAGTAGTGGTACTCGATTGAAAATGAATTCTTTGAAAGGTTGATGCAACATCAAAGTGAACGCTTGAGGTTTTTCAAAGCCACATTTTATGCTCTTAACAAAATTTTTAACTTTTGCATGATATTCTCATCCTCAATGGGAACGGACATTTTACAGTTACCTCGCTATCTGTAGAAGAATTTATGAAAATTGGCGTTTATGTGACTAATGTTTATGAATCGTTATAGGACATCTCTTTTCGAATGCAAGTATAATTACTGTCTATGGCATATTGAATGTCTCTTCTCATGGTACCTGTAAATCAAGCTTTGTTACGTATTTAACCAAATATTATTGGCTTTAAATACTAACCCATTTTCCCATTTTGGTCAAGTTGACTTTTAATCTGTTACAATATGTCGATAATAGTCTGTCTTTTAGAGAATTAATACCAGCATGTGAGCTAAGTAAATTTTTTAAACAATAATTTTATGTTAAAACACAGACTTCACTGTCAATGAAGGTCTTACAGAGTTGGATGTGGTTTGTAAATTAACAACTTTAAGCTAACCATTTGTCCTAGTTTGCAGTAAAAAATCACTTCCCTCGTCTTAGATAAATTTATTCCACCAAATTATTTACTATATTTTAAAATTAAATCAATAATTTTGTATAAATTGGTTTGTGGAAAGCCAAAAAAGGCCACAAACCCACCAAATATAACTTAAAAGAAAGCGGTTGCTTTAAATTATTGATTTAATAATATTGAATGGAAATGCTAAATGACAAAATTTTTATTATTTAAATTGCATAAAATGACTTTAACAGAGCTGTAAAAATTAATTAAAATTGAGGTTTTTTTAAGAAAAATGTCACGATTATTATGATAGCGTTCTTTGTTTCTTTTAGAAGTGGTTAAATGGTATTAGTTGACAATTCTTCTTCCTCCTCCTCCTCATCGTCATCCTCGTCATCGTCATCGTCATCGTCATCATCATCATCGTCATCATCATCTTCCTCCTCTTCCTCTTCTTCCTCATCTTCCTCTTCTTCCTCTTCTTCCTCCGAACCACTCCCACTACCATGATGGCCCGAATGATCATGTTTGTGTTGATGACCGCAATGTCCTCCACTGCTTCCTCGTGTGCACATTTGTTCTGATCGATCAATAGCGTTGATAAGGAGAAAGATTGCGATGAAAAGCCAGCTATAAATCGCCTTCATAGTGGATCTACGTGAATTAATACAAAATTTAGCTTTCCATTTGCAATTTTAGCAATCAAATTTATACCCCATGCGATGCCATAAATCTTTTACATCTGTTCTCTCAATGGCAGTTGCAATAAAGGTAGAGAATGATTGGTGAATAACAACGATCCATTTCATGAAGATAATATAATAAATCAAAAATAAAAACAGAAGAATTAGACAGAACTCAGGACCTTGAGTAAAATACAAATGTATTTTAAATTTTAATCTAATTCAATTTGATAAATTTTAAAATAAAAGTAATCGATAAATTGCAAGTGACTAAACATATATTGAAAACTTTCTGCCACACAGATGACTAAGTAGCAAATTGAATAAGAATTTCATTATCGTCCGACGAGTCAAAACATACATTTTCAATATTCCAAAATAAAGAAAGTTAATTGGATTCTTTTTGCTAAATGCGGGCAAATCACTGCGCAAGTTCTTCAATGCACCTTTTTTTAATAGGAAATGCAACAACAATTTGCCTTGAAAGGCAATGACCAATTTTTACACATCAGCTTTGCCTTAAAAATTTTTGTCTCAATCTATGCCAAATCAATGCCAGTTGGTTTGTTCATGGTGGACATGCATGGCGATATTTAATGAACTAGGAAGAGATTTAAAATGGTCTTCATCTCACTAATTGAAGGCCCTTAGTTATTCCAGATTTTTTGGAATACCGCTTTAAAAGAATAAGAGCATAAATACAGTGCACAAATGCGGCAGATTGCGATACTAATATTCCTTGAATTATGCCCCACTTTATTCATGGCCAGATCATCTAGTTAAGAATGGCTTTCGAGATGAGCCACTTTACTCAAAAGACGTATGTGAAACGGACGTTTGACAATGAGCAAGTTTTGTTTTTCGTTGCGTAGCAGTCAATGTTTTGGAGCAATAAATGCGATTTCAGATACTTTGGGAAATATTTGTTGTGCTAGGTAAAAGTACATGAATATTTTTTACTTCACTGGAATCAATGAATTGAATTTTTTAATTATATAGCGTCGAGATAAATTTACAAAGCCCAAAGGACTTCTTTTAAAAGCTTTTATCTATTGTGTTTTCGTTTTTGGTAGCTCCTTAATTTTCTTTTCTTCAAACTTCCTTAATTCTTTTATCATTGCAGTAAGGCTTGCAATGATATCATGTTTTCTTTGTACCATTTTTATTCAACTAATCAAGAATTTACTAGATACGACATTAATGCTACTTTATATAACAAAATTTAGGTTATTGCAATGATTCAAAGGTCCGAAAAAGATCTTGCTGAGTTTCATTAAGATTAATTAATTAAATTACACAAACTTTGTAAATTTAGCAATGGAGATGAACCTGCATCGACTATTTTGAATGATAGAGTGAAAAGGAGAGTGACAAAGCTAAATTCGAATGATTTTGGGACTACGATTAGATACCACGTTGTTACTATTTAACAAAAAATTCTTATTCGTTTTAATTAAGTTAGTAGCAGTTAATGAAGAGATAATCAATATGTCAGCAAAAGTTAATTGCAACTGGGGTGTTCGATAGACTTACTTCCACGTGGAACACCCTGGACAAGGTATACTCATACGGCAAAAGTCTTTTAACTGGCAGTTGACTTCTGCCTTCAAACTACTATGACCCGACTGTATATCACTTTGCAAAAATTACACAATAATCATCTCACCTTTTCCTTACCTTTGTGTCTGTCTCTAATTCATCTGTGAATCATTCTTTTGTTACCTCTCTCGATTTTTTCCACTTTAATGTTACTCTCTTTGTGAAGCCCGATGTCAGCTAAATAACTAATGATAACTATTCAAAACGCTTATTATTTGAAATGATAATATTAATTAATTGCAACTGAACATTGAAATTCAAGTATAGCTAAAGTAAGTTTAAGCATTGTGAACTGAATCCTCGCCATTGCATAAGATAGTTAATAAGCAAAAAACATGCTGAAAGAGCTTGTTTTAGCTTCAATTAAACATATTAGAAAGTGCAATAATTTAATAAAATCATGATTTTTATAAAGTTAATGTTTTTGCACTTATGAAGTACAATTTCGGTCCACTTAACTACGTCCACACAAAACCCCATCATTCCCCACTAAGATCCTATTAATCAGACCTAGACTTCATCCTCTAGGCTTATCAATAACCCAAAGAATCGAGTTTTGGTCACTATGACACAAATGTGTGTAGAAAGGCTCTAGATAAAAGGCTTGAAAACCCCAACCCAAAATAAAATGCGGCGAACCATCTAAAACCACAGTAGATTTACTTGCTCTAAGATAGGGGCATACATGATGTTTATGGTTTTGCTGTTGATAATTTAGATGTTAATGAAGTTGCTGTTTATTCATTTTGATTTAATTCGTCCCCTACGTCTTTGGTAATTATAAAAACAAAATTTAAAGTAAACATTGACTAGACACACTTACTATTAATCGCTCTTAATAATTCGTCGTTTTTCTTTACGTAATAAATGCAGAGCAATGCTAAAACAAAATAATTCATATATCTTTTGGCGAAAAAAATAGTTTGCACAGTTTAGAAAGTCAACAGATTTTTTTCATCAGATTATTTAAGACTATTTTATAATTTAAGTTAATGCTTTCAATAATTATTTCAGTCATTCAATTTGAAATTAATGCCAGTATTCATCAGATAAGGACATTGTCAAGATACATTTATTAATCTTACAATTTATAGCTCCAAAACATTAATATTGCTTAAATTTAGTTAAAGGCATTATAAATGGTCAATAATTATAAACAAATTAGTTATAACTCAATTTATAAAATAATTAAATAGCTAATACTTTATTTTGTATATCTAAAATGTAATTGAAAGTCCTCGATACTAATGGCCTTCAAGCAATTGCCTAGGTTTCAACAATACACTAAATAGAAATGTTCTTAGCATTTTATTCTGTATGAATACTATATCACTAACCATAAACAGGTTTAAAATAAAATGGACTCATATTAATGTAGATTTCGTGAATTTTGTGTCCAATAATAACATTTTAAGGTTGCCATATTAAATCAATAGATGTATTTATTTGTCTGAAATAAAATGATGGTTTTTTAAGGCTTTCATTAAAAAGTGAGAACCGTGCTTTATATACCATATTGGTAATTATAATCAATTTCTACTCCTTAAATCAGCAAACATTCACACATCATCAGGTGTTAATTTGAATTTTGCTTCCATTTTGACAAAATTAACTATGTAAAATTAAGTATTAATGTTTTATCAAATTTCAAAGAATAAATGTTACCCATGGATTAAATGTTTGTAATTTGTAAAGGAATTGAAAAAGTGGAAATGAATATTTGCTATTAAAGATGATTTTCCTTCAATAAGAAAAGAAACAAATTATGTTTTTTGATTTCCTGCTCAAAGCAATTGCTGACGCATAGATGGAAAACATTCAAATTAATGGTTGAATTACGAATTGAACGACACTAGATCTGAATGAAATGTATTTAAAATATAATTAATTTGTTTATGCGTTCAGTTTAATAATTAAAAATTTATTTATATCTTTCAATCATAAGTTATTTCAAAAGAAAGTTAAATTATAATTAAAAGCACGATCTTTGTCTAAGACAATTTCATTTTATTAAACATTTTTAATCAATTTGATAAAGGTGTCTATGGGTGAATTCTGTCTTGAATAAGGAGCCATGTAATTTTAATAGGCCTTGCCAGGAAGATTTGAACGGCTCAAATATTGTGCCCAGCCAATTTATTATTTTTCAGTTACCTTCATGAATGAATGATTGTCTGTGACTGATCAATCGACATTTCACGATCCTCGGTTTAATTTTTTCGGCTTAGATTATTTGAAATGAGCATACGGATGTTATCTTTGAACTATAAGTTTATTGTATTTTTATAAGGTGACGATTTTGACATTTGTTATTCCGGGTCCTTTTCAAGTGAAAATATCACTTTATCCAAGACTCCCCGTATTTTCCACTAAACTATTCATCGAAAAAACTAATGGCTGCGCTCATTTTAGAGCCCCAAGACATTTTTTATTTATTTTGACTTATTGAGAGAATTGTAGCGGGCAAGCATGACCAAAAATATTATAAAATTAAAATACTACTTATTATCTGAAAGTAGCATTTATCGGGAAATAAACGACTTAATGGTAGATTGCTCAAATGAGAACTGAAGTTGAAGTGGAAAAAGTGCAGCTTTTACAATATATTTTTTTGAATTAATACGGTTTAAGAGGGCATACCAACCTTAAATTAAGACTACGCCTGTGATATGTTCAATTGCTAACCGGAATATATATTATTGGAAAATCCAACTGTTCTATGATGAATTCATTCAACAAGCCGGTTGAATTTATATTTCTTAATTATACCTTGATTATGTCGCATATTTCAAACGAAATAATTTTGAGCCAATGTATATTACTATTCCATATTTATTCACGAAGAAATCTAAATAATAGACAGTTTATATTCAATTGAATGCTAAAATGGTTGTTTTTTAAAAATGCAAGAATTGGCAATTATTAACTCTGTCGTTTAAAGGCTGAAGGGTGGCATATTTCCATAATTGATCACAAGACTTGAAAGTCAAGTATGATTGGCTTCTGTTAAACATTGACCTTCACGAAGAAATTTGGAAATTCTTTATTAAATTAAAGAAATATTTATGCGTAAATCTAAAATATTCTAATTTTTGGAGAATAGGCTTCTAATGAAGTTAAAAACTGTGTTTACACTACAAATAAAGAGCTTTCAGACGCAGAACAATGTCATGAACAACAAGTAAGAGAAATACTCATCATTAATGTCGTCATCTTTGCCATATTCTTCACCATCGTCGTCTTTTCACCTTCACCATATGCATTCCACCATTCCTCTTTAGTGTTCAAATTCGTCACAACCTCATTTTTGAAGTCAAAGACGTTAACCCAAGTAAGGATGTTATAATAGCTCGCATATATTGCAT